CTAATGTGATTCAAAAGCAGGGGAAACGAGTCCAGAGTGCTAATTCTCGACCAGTCGGCCGGCCTCCTGGAAAGAGCAAGGCTTCAAGCCTTAGGCAGACCGCTTGTGACAAAGTTAAAGCCAGCATCGAGACTATAACTACTCCGATTAGCTCCAATGATACTCCTCCCACGATCTGCCACTCAGCGCTGTTGACTTCCGGAGTTTCGGCTCGCAAACAGCCCTCTAGACTAGGTAGGCCGCCACTTAAGTCCTTAAAGCAGAAGCAACTGCTGCTGTTGGATGAACAGGAACATAAGCCTCTGAACAAAAGGTTAAGCCGAGCGACCACGCGTGTTAGTCTTGGTGGAGTTCGTGGTGCCCACATTTCAAGTATGGGTACTTCTTTTACGGAAGCCGAGAGTGATTTTGCATCTGTCTATAGACTGGACGAGAAACCTTCGTCTGATCACAATTTTACCGATATTCCTGGGTCCCGTTTAGTCTTGACTACATCTGCTGCCTTCAAGACGGATGAAGAGCTCAAAGTGGAAGAGGGAGAGAAAGAGGAGAAAGATCGAAGCATTCCGAAGCAGGAGGTAGAACGAAAAGAAGAAGGGAGGATGGAAAGTGAACTTGAAGGAGGTAGAGAAATTGGAAAACAATGCTCCATGAGGGAAAGTGCTCTAGACGAACCTGGAGAGCCAAGCCAGCCCTCAACTGATAGCGAAGAGGATATTTGGACCACGAGTGAAGATGAGCCAGGGGAGGATATTGATGATAATGATAACTCAGGGTACTCCACATTCTGCACCAATTCATTTAAAAGCGGAGATAATCTGTTGATTCAAGTAAGGAAGGCAGCGGAAATGGCAGCCTGTCGATTAAAGAGGAGTTACAAAAATCTTCAGTCGACAGCTACCAGGATCGGACCTAAAATTGTATATCTGAAGGTATGACATTTTTGGTATCTTCGACTCTGAAACTTAAATAAATGTTCACTGCTTAAATTCCTAATATCATGAGTGCTGTCGAATTAATTATATAAACAAATTAGTGCTGGAGGTTAAGAAAGAGGAGTATCGGTGATTTTATTTCGTATGGGACTGTAGCCGATAAGACTTCTTTCGATAAGTGCAGTTTAAACTAGATGTGATTAAAGATATGAATACCAAGATGTTGTGGCCTCTTGTATGGTCGCTGTCTCCTTTCAA